AGCCTCCTGGACGTCCAGGTCGTAACCATAGAAGAAGTCTTTGTGGGCGGAGCCACAGATGTAGATGCCTGCGTCGTCGGGCCCAGCTCTGAAGATCAGCAGGCTGAAGAGTCGGATGGAGAAGCGACTCCGCAGGTCTCCGCTGTGAGGGACCTGGCTGGGATCGAGCAGGTGGTTGCCGTGGTGATCAGTCAGCGCTTTGGCGTCCGCTGATCGTTCCAGATGTTTCCGGAAAAACCAGACGACCGACTGGACCTGAAACCGATATTTGAACCTTTTTCATCTGCACAGTTGGAGGAGGTTCTTAAATAGACGCTCCGGCCAGAGCCGCTACTCCTCCACAGTGAGCGCCTCCCGGCGAGGTGTGCCGGACGCCACGGTTATCCTCGGATGGCCACCGGCGAGGGGGAGGGGGGTCCTGATACAGTTAAAACCATAAAGTCGTAAATGAAATCTAGACGTTTGATTTGTGCAGATGGAAAACCAACAGGAACAAAATAAAGGTTGGTGACATTCGTCAACGCACTCACGAGGCGTCGATGTTTAAGGCATCGAATGTCTCAGAGTCAGAAACTGTTTTCACTGTAAAACAGGAAGCTCACCTCCAGCATGCGCCCTCCATACAATCACAGACTAAAACTCAACTAAACCAACACTAACTGGATATGATAAAAACTAGTTTCTCAGATACCTGACACCCAGGTGTGCAGTAGAAAACAGACGTTAGTTACTCGCGTACCTGCTCTGGTTTGCAGAGGCAGGGCAGCTCCACGGTGACTCCTGACAGGTAGGCCGCGTTGGTGAAGGTCAGGAAGGCGGGACACGCCGTTCTGGCAAACACGTCCTGTTTGTCTTCAGGGGCCTCGTAGCTCCACGCCTTTGGAGTCAGGAAGAGGAGGAAGAGCGGGGACCAGGACGGGAAAGGCATCTCTGAGGAGGAAACAGTTGTTTTCAGTCTGAAGAATGTTTACTTTCAAAGACAAACCGGTGAGCTGAACTGTCCACATGACCTGCAGGAGCCTAAATATGACTGTGGGATCTCTGGGATCTCTGCTTCACTGGGTCCTTCCCAGCACCTCAGATCTCCATCGTCTTCTCTCCTGGCAGCAAAGCAGACAAACTTCAGCTCGGTAAACAGACACGCAGAATCGCATCAGCAGCGTCTTCAAACCAACACCCTGCAGCCTCGTTGATTGGTTCCTGTCAGCCTGATATCAGATTCACAGCCTGCACGAATCATGTGGAGGTTTCTGTGAGGGTGCCCCCTGCTGGGCTGCAGGTTTGTGACAGCAGAGCTTTTAGCAGTGCTGGAGGTGTGAGGGCTGCACTCGGGGAAACACTCCACACGAGTGAAGAGCACTGCACAAAGCTGGTCTATTCATCGTTCCCATTAACTCCGACGGTTTCTCTCGTTCATTCATTTATCGAAACACAAACTCCAGAGAAACGTGTTGTGAATGAAGCGGGTGGATGGTGGAGCGGAGCCAGCCCTTCATGCTCAGCCCTTCATGCTCAGCCCTTCATGCTCAGCCCTTCATGCTCAGCCCTTCATGCTCAGCTCTGAAGTTCAGGAGCAAGTTTGAGCTCAGTGCTGGAGGGAGTCACACCAGTTCAGTTTCATCCTGCTGTGGGACCAGTTCTATCTGCAGCTGTGACAGCTGGGTGTTTCCCAGCGTCAAGGTGATTTCTCTGAGAAGAAGAAGATGGCGCACAGAATTGTCCAATCACTGCACGGTGCCCGGCGAGCCCGTGGCACAGAGCTGCTGCTGGCTTTCTTTTGTGGAGCTGGGCAATCGGCAACACGGCAGCAGCGGACATGAAGCGACGCTGAGCCGCCATTGAAGTTCACGAAGAAACAGATTCTGGATCATCCCATTCTTAGGAGCAGGCAGCAGAAGGGAGGAATTCCTGATCCCAGAGTCGGTCCATATTCCAGGATGACAGTGGGACAGTTTGAGCTCCTGTTTTTGGAGTCGAGATCTGAGGAGCTAGCTGCGAGTTTACGAGCACACCTGTCGCTGAATGCAGTGACTGATAAAAGCTTCGTCCTATAAAATTATGAGAACATGTAAGAGGATAAGATAAGATAAGGCTTTATTAATCCCTCGGGTGGGTTCCTCTGGGAAATTCGGTTTCCAAAAAGCACATGTGAGTCTGAAACACATTTTAACAAATGAAATATTTGCACAAATTTTATGCGTCCAGTGTGTAAAGACTGCAGAGGGGGAGGCTTCAACGAGTACAGCAAAGACAGACTTGGAGTCAACAGTTATGCACAAAAACTCATAATGAAACAAACTCACATATTTTCATAAGGCGGGAGATTCTCGAGCAGCGAGCCGACTGAAGCTCAGCGTGTGGTCCAGGTGTGAGCAGGTGAGAGTAATGCAGCAGTGATGAGGCTCAGCAAACATGTGTGGCGCTGAAAGCGCTGAGCAGCTCTATGTTTCATTCATTCAGAGCTGCTCGAGTGTTTGCTGGTGTTAAAACGTGCCACTCTGCCACTCTGCTTCCATTAGCGTTTGACATTTATTTCATTTGCTGCTTCGTTCTGTTCCCTGAAAACACAAACGTGTTAAAAAACATTTCCCTCACTTAATGCTGTCAGCAGGAAACAGACGTTTTACTCCAGGAAGGTCTCCCATTCAAACCAGCTCTTATCCTCTGACCAGTTCATCCATCCTGTGTCAGGGTCGTGGAGGGACTGGGACATATCCCTGCTACACCTGGACAGGTGGCCGACCCGACGCATGGTTAACACAGAGAGACGACGTTCACATCTGGAATCACCAGCTGACCGAACCCCACTAACTGCGTGTGGACTGTGGGAGGAAGTCAGAGTTACTGGGAGAGCCGCAGGGAGAACCCTGGACCTTCTTGTGACAGCCCCACCACTACATCACCTGCTGCCACCTGCTTATGGCGAAACCACTACGTCTCTCATCTGAGCTTTAGTTTTATTTATTGGTACCAAATGGCAACAGCAGCTCCTCCATCAATCACATGACCAACGCTGACTTTCACTGAGGACATGGAGGGAGGACAGCCACAAGTCTGAGTCCTTCACAAACGTGTGCGTCTGTGTTTGTGGTGCATGCACAAACACAGACACATGAGGAAGTAGTGCATGAAATAAACTGCAGAGTGGTGCCAGTGTTGTTCACTAATACAGCGTCCACATCAGCACAGCGACGTCCTGAGCTCTATCTGTGGAGATCACAGGGTGAACCAGGACGATCTGGTTCAAACTACTTCCTGTTTCCTCTTTAGCAGGGCTGTAAACGCTCACCTGCACAGTCACCTGCTTATCTGTCCTCATTGCGGCTGCAGAAACGTGCACACACACTAACGAGGACTACAGAGATTTAATGCTGTGCAGCAGGTCTCTGTTAGAAGAACTCCAAATGTCATTTCTGCTTTGTGCTAAAAATAATTCCTCGTGTTCAGAGAAAGACGAGGACGAGTGGGCTGAAGCAGACGTTTAATGGACCTTCAGAGCGAGCCCTGTGATGGCTGAGAGACAAACACTGAAGGACCTGAGCCGCAGAATCGATGCTATTAGTCAGTCAATAACCGGGGAGCGGGGCCCGATACCTGAAGCTGCTTCGATGTGCTGTTTGTCTTTAGTTTGTCACGTTAAAGATGCACAGGGTGTAATCACAGAGTCACTGCTCTGATGAAGAGGAGTGCAATGAGATGAAGAGTGATGGGAGTAACAATATTACATAAACTTTCTTTGACTGATGAAGGGCGTAGAAACATCACTGCCCATGATCACATGTAAAACCTGAAGCGTGCAGCTGCAGCTAACCTCGGCAGCGTGGAGGCTCCCTCGCTGCACCACCTGAGCCTCCAAATACAAAGTGGACCAACTGCAGTCCTGCAGAGCGGCTCAAAGATGAACAGAGTTTCATAAAAGCAGACGTGCTTTAACATCTGAAACCCACAGGACGGCACCCACACATCAATGGTTTCAGCTGCTGTTTTCTCTACGACGAGCCCCGGCGGGCTTTTAGAGTCAGAGTCAGCCACTCTGACTCCACTTTAAAAAATAAACCTTTTATTTCATAAATAGGCAGTGTATACAAAGAAAGACAAACCTAAAGTGATGCCATGTGCACGTGTTACACATAACAGCAGGGGTTCATCAGTGGCAGCCTCGGGGAACAAACTGTGCCGGCTCGTTTCAGTAAACAGCGCTCTGCAGCAAAGTCTCCCTTCATCACTTCATGCACGTGATTTCTTTATTGTGATGAAATCAGCAGCCTCACCTTTACCTGCAGCGAATCCTGTAGCAGCAGCTGACGATTCATCTCACTGAGAAAACCTGATTCTCCATAAACGACCTGCTGTTGATCCTGTTCTTCCTCCAGCTGATCCATGCTTCCATTTCACTGCTGTCTCCTCAGACCTGAAGTCCACCTCTCACCTCCAGCTCGCTCGTCTTTTACTGAACCCACAGAGACGTCCCTCCTCCCTGACTGGATCTGAGTCCATGTCCACACTAACATGTTTTCATTTGCAAACTCTTCGTTTTGTCCTTCCGTCCACACTGAGACGGCGTTTTTGGAACACAGAGCTTTTTAAAAGGCTCTCCAAAGCAGATACATTTGAAAACGCCGTTTTGGCGCGTGGACCGCGAAAACTGAGGCAATTTTAAGTGTTACGATGGTCTGTCTCTCATCCGCTCCAGGAAAAACCACGAGGTCCAGCTCAAAACTAATGCTGTCCATCCCACGGACTAATCTCAAATCCCGTGGTGATCCTTCTCTGTGGCAGGTCCCAGACTTGGAATCGTCTCCTCTTAAATATGAGATCTGCACAAACACTTGAGCAATTTAAATCATTACTAAAGACACATTTCTACGCCTGGCTTTTAACACACTATGACCCAAGCATCTTATTTGAATTAGTTTAGTTATTGTTTTAATTCTTTTATTGTCCTATTATTGTTTTTTAATGTTATTATTGTATTACAATGTTGCTTTTTAAAACCATTTTATATTGTTACTTTGTGCAGCATCGGCTGTTTGAAATGTGCTATATAAATAAACTTGACCTTTGTTTAATGCCTATTTCTCACTGTGTCAAGGCTTCATCATTCACTGCTGCAGAACAGCTGTTTGTTAACCCGTGTTGTCCCTGAAAAAGCCTCTTTGTATCATGTAAATGTACATTATTTTCAGTTTTGGGCAACCTTACCTGTTTTTACGTCTGGCCGTTCACCCCTTACCTTTGTACTATTTCAGCTGTTCACTGGACTTGAGCGACGTGAACTGCAATGAATAACTGGAAAAACTGGGGGTGACCAGTAGTGTACACAAAGACACACGT